TAATAATACATTACAAGTACAAAGTACTTTTTAGTTTTGAAGGATTCTAAAGCCAACACAGATTTGGCCTTGAGTCTTGGTCTAAAATATTTAATACTGTTCTGTAATTAATTTCCAGAGAATTATGTGAAGCTTTCAGCACAGTCTTTGTTCAGCAAAAACTAAATTACCACAGGCAAGAGGCAACACAGAGAGGAAGAGCACAGAGGAGAACATGTAGGTGATTTTTAAACAACCATGGCCAGTGTCAAAATGACAGATCACACCTTTTGAGCTCAGTATCAGTATCATCAGGACTGAGGACGGTAAAAATTTGCTGGAGAGTGGGCTTCACAAAGAGCTATAAAAGATGAATTTAGTCGTACAAAAAAGATGTAACTGAACAACCTTCTTATAGCACTAACTCGTGTATACAGTGTAATAATTGCATTTAGAGAACAAGCCTAACAGTAAATAACTCCTCACTTAATGCCACAAAACCCAATGAAGACTATTTAGACAAAAATGAAACAAAAATATTACATTATTACAGAAATTTTAATAGTAGCACTTATATCTTTACAAAAAGAGCATTGTGGGTGTTTTACATGTCTAAATATTTCTACATTAACCATTTATTAAAAATAACTGACTTTAAAAGTCCATCTTTAAACCTTGAAAAAGTACACTCATAATAACAGGTTATTGTATGTCTACAGTTTCTTTAGATGGTACAATAAATACAGTAAACCAACATTGGTTTTTACAGTGAATGAACATTTAAATAAGTGTAGTGTTTGCACGACAAATTTATAACTCTGTATCATATTGGTATTATTTAATAAATCACAGGAGAAACATTTAGCAAAAAAAACTATTATGTCTATTTCTAACTCCCGACCTAAAAATGAGAAGTAGTTGAAGTTGTGAGTAAAGACTTGACACAAAAATCAACCTACTGTCTTAAACTTGTGTTTTGATTAATGTAAGTGTCTTTTTTCACCTTTTTCTTACTTCAACTATGGCATGAACTGGTTAAAACAAAGTACAGACTTGAGTTACATTTCAGACAAAGACCAGAACCTGGCAGCTGTTTCATGAGGCTGCGATGGAGTGTTTCTTACGTTTCATGGGAGAAGCATTAATTATATCTTTGGCTGCAGGTTAATGTTTGAGTCTCAGGTTGAACTTTCCACACGAATTAGAGCCATTTGTAGCAGAGACCAGTTGCCTCCAGCGTCAAAAGTAAGGCTCGGGACTCACTTCTTACCTCTGTGTGCTGGTTCAAACGTCTTATGGTTGAAAAATCAGCTCCGTTCCAAAGCTGAATGATGCACTGCAGCGGTTCAGCTGGTGCCAGGGATATGCTTGATGCATTGGTTGTTGTGTTTCCGATCCAAGATGAACACAGTGTCATGATGTTTTATAACCACTTGGTCGCAGTCCTTGTCCACTGAGACAAATACATGGATACAGTGGTTTAAAGCAATAGAAAAGGTAACAAAAAGACAAAGCCAGTGCAAAGATTTTTCTGCGGTTTTCTGCTGAGCATTTACATTTTATGTGATCCACTTTGAGCTCACCAGACAGAAACCTAATCACCTCTACGCTGACGGAGATGCATTTGTTCTCCCATCTCCTTGATAAGTAAACCCCCCCAAAAGGGACATTTATGTTGTTACAATGAGCTTCACACCCCGTATATGCTCCAACTTTCACACACAAGTAAAGGGAATCCCAGGCCAAACAAATCATTATTTATACAGTAAAAATAAATAAATAAATCTTTACGCACAACCTTCCGTTACAACATGAACAAAATCCAGTTGGTTTCTGGTCTGTGCTACATCACATATGGACATATTTTCTACTTTTTGCACAAACAAATCTTTACCAAACGGAAGTTTAAGTTAGCATTGCAGGAAGTGCAACTTATCTGCGTTGAGAAGAAGTCATTTACAAGTTCAACAAAAATGTAAATGTAAAAAGTTTATAGAACAAGAAAAAAACTACAATATTTGGTTTCATTTGTGCTTCTAATACTATTTATGTTATCTGCAAGTGTAATCTAAACCCAACTGAAAATAATATGATAGTTTTATTTGATTTTCAAATAATCCTTGATAGATGCTACATTTGATCCAACACTCATAAAACTTATGAAGGGATGATGGGATCCTTGATTGAGTTGGCAGTGCAGAAACATTTTATGTGATTTTACTCATTAGTTTATTGTTTGTTTGAAGTGAGATTTTTTTTAAGTAGTTATTAACATTCAATGTCTTACCTGCTGTAGACAGCAATGAGTGTAATCTCAGTTTGGAGAACCTGTGTTAGAAGCCTATTCTGGAGCAAATTTCATTCGTTAAAAAAGCCCAAGGGTCAGATTTATAAAGGATTGTGTGAAAACTATACTAAAAGTGAACGTACAGCCAAAAGGCGGAAATAGTGTACGCCAAAAAAATTCAGATTTATAAAACCATGCGTACGCAYGTTTCTGCGCAYCTTTCATTTATAAATCACAGCCGTACGTCAGAGTTTGCGCACGAGGTCCCGCCTCAGGTTCTACCCTCTACACGCCCACATTCAACCATAAACAGTCAATGTAAAGTACCTCATGAATGTTAAGATGTATTTAAATCAGTCAGGTGATCAATGCCAACAAAAGTGATTGGTTCAGACACGCTCCGTCGTGCATCTGGAGGATGACAGGTGCTGCTCACGTGAACAGAATGTCTGTAATTGACAAATTTTCCCCAATTTTGCAGGTTTACAGATGTTTAGAGTAATCTAATGATTTTTATCAAAAATTCAGCTTCAAATTAATTCTCTTTGAGAGCCTGCAGGACGATAAAAACAATAAATAAAATTAAATGTCAGATAAACTTAGAAATAATTTCACCACTCGTCTCCCCGTCCTCCCCCTCCTCTGTTATCTGCGACAGACCACCCCCCACATGCACACACATGCACACACATCCCCACAGGATCCCCCCGCCCCCTGTGCGTGACAAATACGGACTTTAAAAAGTRAAGTTTTATAACATCCACACGGGTGAGGGTGGGCGCGCCCTGCGTGTACCCAAAGCGTGATGCTCTGCTGTTGAAATGTCTCTTGTCAGGGCGGGTTCTGTGAGGAGGAGGAAATAAATTAATGAGTTGCGTGAACTTTTATTTAAGATTTAAGTTTTTTTATTTCAAAGCTCCTTCTGGCTCAGCAGCAGAAGCATAAATATTGTTAAGAAAGCTGATGATAAATTTGAATAAAAACCTAAATCTTATTATGAAGGGAAATTAAATATCTGACAGTGATCATGACGCAATGTGGCTCTAATTCCTCACTTCACCATCTGTGTCACAGCTTCACGTCTCCAAAATGAGCGTACGCATGGGTCAGAGCTGGCGTGAGGCACCGCACATTTTCACGTCAAGTTTGGATTTTATAAATCACAACCTTTGCGTGAAAAGTGGCGTACGCAAGTTTCTGGGCTCATATTGTGCGTACGCCAGTTTTATAAATCTGACCCCAAATCTTTCATTTTTACAGTTTAAACAAGTGCTATAATATGAAACAGATTTCAGAGTCAATGTCTGGAAAAATAATTATCTGACACCAAAGTGACAAAGTTAAAACATTGCTGAAATTCCCTCTGAAATAAGACTCATTTTGGCAAACCATAAACTTGACTCTCCTTGAGCATTTCTCTTTCATTCTTGGATTGTTCTGTCTGCTGTTTACGCCGGGTAAGATATTGACTACCATTCTGCAAAACCCCACTTTAATTAAAATAAAAATAAAAACTATTTAACAAAGTCGTTTGTTGAGTCATCAAAATTGTTTACAAACTCTTAGACATTAGGTATCTTTATGATGAATAAATGCATTTTTATTACCCTGGCTTCAGATCTGCCCAACATGAATGAAATTAAATTTAAAAACCTTGTTGATGAACGTTAAACTGATCTGGTTCATTCCAAATCTTAAACCTAATTCAGTCTCTGCTCTCCCATCTGTTTTATGGATGAGGAGGATGTCTTCACAGAAATATAGAAACAAACTCAAGCTGAAAAAAAAAGTTTCTGATTATGAAGTAAGAGCGCACATAATATTTCTGTCTTTAACAAAAGAGCTGTCATGCACACAAGCTCCTTCTAAAAACCTACAGCCGTAGAATTTAAAAGTGCTTGTCGATGACAAATGCAGCCAAGTACCAATCTTTCTCTTCGATAAAGAAGTATGGACGTGTATTTGTCATTGTCAGAACTTAGACAATCCACGGGGGCTCTAAATAATCCAAAGACCTAGCGAAGGGAAGAAAAAGAGCGACATAAAGATGGAGGATGTGTCCGCTCTAAAGATACTTTTGGGGTTTTAGTCATCCAAGAAAGAAAAAAATGCATGACCTGTGATTTTGCAGTTTGTCTTGGTAAGCATGTTTATCAGAATGTGCAGGCATAGACGACGCCCACCACCACAATATTTCCAATCGTAGCGATGATGGCGATCCAGAGCCAGATGGCATCACTTGACATGGACTGCTGCTCGTCCTGCTGGCCTTGTACCGAGGCCGCCGAGGCCGCGGCGTTGACACTGGCCGAAGAGTTAAAGAGTGAGTGCTCGCCACTGTAGTCGTCGTTGGGCGAGGAGTCCATGAAGGCTCCTGTCATAACAGGGATCTGGAGGTAGAGGAGAGAAATTCAGGAAAGGGTCAAAAAGTTTTGATTTTGAAGTTGAGAGAATAAAAACAAATCAAGATGTGGTTTCAAAAGTGCTGTTGAAGGCATTAACATAAGCCTCCTGGATGCATGCCAAAGCAGAATGACAGCCAGTCTGGAACCCGATTAAATTTTATCTGATACACAATTAAAAGTATGCACGCTCAAAATCAGAAATGTGTGTTATCAATCTAATGTCAGATTCACAAAGCTGTGATCATACATCGTTCTTCTTCAAATAATTTTCATTTTGTTTAAAAGTGCATTAGCCTGATCTCTTTATTAGCCATAAATAGATGTAAACACCTCCTTACTTAATCATTTGCGAATCAAATTGCTGTACGTGACACAAGACTTCAAGTGTGGAATGAAAACAACAAATAAGAACGGCTCAACAGAATGTGAAATTAAAACACTCCTAACACTCTAAATTCACAAACGGTACAAATACGGACATCTGGGAAAAGCATCTGAATTATTGTAATGAACAGAGATGAAAACCTGGCGAGTGAAACACACACACACACACACACACACACACACACACACACACACACACACACACACACAC